CCTACTAAAGTATAAATTTATTATTATGACACTCCATGTCCTTATAAAGACTGTCCCTGAATCCGTTGTCGCTCATCCGTGACAGTTTCCTCTACTTCTTTAGGTGAACTTCTCAGATCTATGTAACGGCAGTAATACATACCAGTCACTGCGGCAACACCACTCACCGGAGGCCTGTCACGGCCGGTCTGTAGATCAGGCAGCCGCCCAGGTCTAATGCTTCGTTGCTTCCTAAATCCATCACCGCGCGACCTCGAATCAGACCGTTGGTCCGCAGCAGCGATAATTTCTGAGAAAACGGCCCACGAGCAGAATAAAGTCTTCCCAATGATAGCCCGGGTACGGTTGCTGGGCCAGGAATCATATCCTTCCAGTCGCAGGTCCTGTCGTGATCACAATAACCATACTGACCAGCATGCCTATGTCGACACGAAAGTATTTGCATGCCGACACAAAGCAATTCAAGCGATCCTCAATGTCACGTGCTCTTCGCAAACGTCTGATAATCGGAGGTGTTTGCGTGGCTTTCTCGTTGCCGGGCAGCTCCTGCTCGCTGTCCGTGTTGTCCGTGTTGTCCGTGTTGTCCTCTTCGCCTTCAGGTGCCTGCGCATGTAGTACAGCTTGCTTCTCAGCAGAACCCTTCTTTTTTCGCCATGCTTGCCAGCCACTTTGACCACTTTGACCCGATCGCTGCTTGCCCTTCTTTGCTTTCATCGCTTTCATCGCTTTCATTGCCCTCACATTGCCGTCGTTGTGTTGGACCTTGGCCGCCTTCATTGCTTTCATGGCTTTCATTGCCCTCGTGTTGCCATCCTGCTTGGCGGCCTTCTTGGCCTTCATGGCCTTCATGGCTTTCATGGCTTTCATGGCTTTCATCTACTATGTAGGTAAGCTCTGCAGTTGATGCCTTGAACCTGTGTCTGCGCCACAGGGTGTAGGTGCACTCGCCGGGCGCACATGTCAAACAGGCACTTATTGGTCTCACTGAATTTCGTTAATAATCCTAGTAAAGTTACTACACTGTTGGATATTATTCTGCTTGCGTTACGCATGCGCACGCCGGCCGTGCAAGTATATTTACAAATTCGATAATATTATTCTGCTTGCGACATGAATTTACGGATGTGTGCGCAGCGGGTCCTGCAGGCATACGCGCGACGGGCGCGCAGGAGTACGCGTGGCGGGCGGTAAACTGACGCAAAACCATAAATACCGAGTATTTCTTTTCGTCGGGAGGGCAGCTGTACATGTGAGTTGAATGCTTCATTGAAATGAACATTCAATTCATTCAATAGCATAATAATCATAATAATAATGCTTGCGACGGCGCGCGCCGAGTGCGCGCGCCTGGCGCGCGCGGCACTGGCGCGCGCCGGGCACCAGGTGTATACGTAGCAAGTGTACGCGCGCGTAGGCGCGCGCGCGCGGCGCGCGCGCCGGGCGCCGGGCGCGCGCGCCGGGCGCGCGCGCTGGGCGCGCGGGCGGGCGCGTGCCGCACGTACAGGCGTACGCGCGAAGTGTAAGCGTGTACTATACTATATTTACACTATTCCATAATATTATGCTTGCAACAGAATTTACACATGTGCGCGCAGCGGGTTGCGACGGGCGCGCAGGAATGACATGTGGCGGTCGTTTATTACCACCCAAAACCAAATATACCCAGGGTGCGCGCGCCGGGTGTGCAGCGGGCGCGCGCCGGGCGCGCAGCAGGTTCACGCCGGGCGTGCCGGACGTGATAATACAATTCTTTAGTCTGTTTGCAACGTGCACAGGTCTGCGCGCCGGGAGTTGAGGCGAACGCGCTCCGGGCGCACAGGCGTACGCGTGCCGGGCGCGCAATCTTGGAGTGGTACCGGCCGGATGTTTAGGGTTTAGGGTTTATGCAAACATGAGCAGCCGGACGAGCCTCCAAACACAATGTCGATCTTGCCAGCGAATTTGGCATGAAGAAGGCTTGACCTCAGGTCGACGAGTTCAGGGTTTAGGTCCAGCAATTTAGTAAGGCGCGTCAAGCAATTTGTTAAGCAAGTGACACGTTTTTTCTCGCCATTGCTGGTTTATTGTGAGACTGTGTATCCGTACATCAGTCCCTTTAAGTTTTTCGGAGACTGCGTATACGTACAGTCCGTCTATACGTTGAGGACTCTTCCATGCCTGCGAAGCAGAAACCAAAGCTGATCTCTGTACGTGTCCCGCATGCCCAGCAACACCATTGACAGGAATCTCACAGCGAACAGTGGACGGATGACCTCGCAGTATTGAACTGCCATCCGTCTAGCATCCGTCACTGGAATCCGTTCAAACTCAAACGAGTTGGCCAGAATGCCCTCGCAAAGCCTTTCCATGGTTCCTCGATCAGGCAAATCCCAATCCCAGCCGGGAGGCTGCTCAACCAAGCCCCGCAATCTCTCTGCATCTACCGGGTTCACTTCCATTCGCAACTTTCCTTGGAGTACGTCGCATTGTCGAACCATGCGTACTTTCTGCATTGTTGGAATCCGTTCCTGTACACCTGCTTCCACAATATCACCTGCAGAGGATCCGCGTCTGTTGTGCTTGGTTTGGAAGTGCTGTAGCAAACTTCGTAGTTGCCGATCGCTCAAAAAAGCCCGCTCCATTTGCCATCCCATTGACAAGTTCATCATGACACATCCCAGCACCAGGTCGGTGCAGATTCGCTGGAATTCTTCTCTCGTAAACATGTTTCTTTCCATTTCCGTAGTGGCATCGGCCGCGGAACCATCGCTATCATCCGAATGATAAGGAGTCGTTCGATCGTCATCGTCACTTCCTTCAGGTCCATGAAGCCTGCCAAAATCCGTTCGATCCATTGCTGCACTTCCGTGGCAGTACGTCGAACTGGGGCACTTCTTTCCTAGTCGTGTCTTTGACGATCTGCGTGTATGCGCATGTCAATAATACTGCCTTGTTTGCATGAGGACAATCGCCTCAGTCGGAGTACACTCGCTCAGACAAAAACGGTTCGATCGCGTTGAATCTTGAGCTGAAAAGCTGCTGCAGTTCAACATGTTGAGCTTGGAAGCAACCCATGGTGCAGCCGTCAAGTCTTGGAATGCCGTGTGGCTTAGGCCGGGGCTCTTCGAGGATCTCGATGCGCATACTGTCTCAGCCTGGCCGCCGACAGACTGAAAGTGAGCAGAGGGATACTGATGCCATGCATGACTTTCCTTCTCTTCCTTCCCTTCCCGCCTCCCTCACATCACTCCTTGCTGCCTGCTCATTCCTCGCATCTACAGTCACACCCTCATCTTGATCATTCCTTCTTCCTTCCCTGCTTCCTTCCTTCCTTGCTTCCTTCCTTGCTTCGTTAATTATTTTCGCTGTGTCTCTCTCTCTCTCCCTCTCTCTCTCTCTGCATCAGTCTTTGAGGGTCCGGCTCACCCCTGCTCGGGGTTCATCCTCACCCCTGTTCGCGGTTCATCCACACCCCTGCATGGGGTTCTCACGACCCCTGTTCGGGGTCCAGGCTCACCCCTTTTCGGGGTTCATCGGTACGCCCCTGTGCGGGGCTCTACCTTGGGGACGGCCTGACCCTTAAAAAAGCTGACGTTGCGCTTTTCAAATGACCCTTATTTTAAGGTACGTTTGAAATGTCCCTTAAAACGGCCTTGGGTCGTTGCGCACGGGAATGACTGGGACCGAACCGTGCCGGATTGGCTCAAATGATGAATTTCGGGATGTTTGATTGGGATCTTGCCCATGATGTCGCCTGGACCCCCCAAATTTTGCTCATGGATGCATAGGCATGACTGACCTTTTGCGAAACGAGTGCGGGAGAGAAAACCCCTAATCCTGATGCCCTAAATAAGTTCAACAGCAAACAGTCTTTAGTCCTTCAGAAATTTCCGAAACTTGCTCTACGTGCGAGTGCATGTGCAGCTGGCAAGATCAGGTCGTCCATGCATGCAGTGCAGGCAAACGCTTCCGTTGATGTCCAGCTGGCTCTGTGTTGCTTGTGCACGGCATGAGCTTTGACACGGGACAGTGCGGGTGCACAGATCAGAGCCGAGCACGTGCAGATCAGACCGATAGATCCGATCGGTAGATCGTGCTGATTATGTAGTAAGCTTGTGCGCAATCGTGTTTCCCAAGCTTTGACGTGCTTGCTGCATGACTCCCGATCCCCTCGTTGATGGTGCCTTGCTGAATCGAGTGCTTTCGCGGGCAGGACCGGCCTGTCTGGTAACTTCATCTGACAGATTGTAAAATTTCTTAAAACGTATAGACCAGCTATCTCGTCCTCAGGACGTGGCAAGCTCGAGAACTTCGACGAGCTGCTGAAGTCCTTTTTTTCTTGGGAGGACTGTGTGGTCGAGACTGGATTGTGTAGGGCTGATGGGAGTATTGCCTCTGCATGCAGGACCATTGGGTGGGAGATGACGGTTCATTGCAAGGACAGTCCAGCTTGCCAAGATTCCGTTGGTGCGGTGTTGGGTGCAGGCAGCAATTTCTGATTGAAGACGGACTAACTGAGTCTTTTGCAACTATTTGGTCCAGCATGCTCTGAAAAAACTCCTTTTTAGGACCTGACTAGCTGAATCCTTTGTAACCATAGCTGAGCATTCTATGGGCGGCTCCGAGTTGTTCCTTGTGTTCAGGATGCCTCGTCCAGCGGTCTACAGATCGAAGCTTTGCCGGGTCACACGTGATGATGATGACGATTCAGGTGCCAAGGGATGTCGGCAGCTGTGTGCAAGGTGTTGCTTTGCAGAGGGGCTGAGCTCATTTCCAGACATGTCCGGTCGAGGCTTTGTGCAGTTTGCAGAAAGCATGACATGCATGTGGCATTATTCCGATCCTTCAGCTTTTGTTCGAGCTCCTCCTATGTTCGTTGAGTCAGAGCATGCACATGAGATCGCAAGAGGTGGCAGGGTTTGTGTGCACCTTGTACCCTAAACCCTAAACCCCTAAACCTGTCAGTGTGAGCGCCGAAACCTGTCAACCTTTGGAGCTGCGGTTTTCTTTAAAGCCCCGCCATGGCTGCCATCATTCCCGAAAAGGTTCATTTTGAACCAGGTGCTGAGGCGGTGCGTGTGTCAAAGGAGCTGAGCAAGGAGGAATCTTTGAAGGCTGTTGCTTAGAGAAATCGGTCGGGCATTAGAACGGTTTTCGAGATTTTTGAAATGCCCATGGTGCAATCTCAGGCTGGCTTGAATTTGGTCGTGGACCCCAGCGGCAAATTGCTGAATCGGAGAAAGGTGTGCAGCCGCAAGGATGTGATCGCCAATCCGAGAGTGCCCCATTTGCACCTATATCTAGATTGCTTCCGAATTAAGAAACAGTCCTCAAATTGCAGAAGTGTACAAGGTCATTGCTGCAGCGATGAGAGGAAAGTTGCGGTCGCGAAAGCGACAGAGCGCATACGTGTATTCCGATGGCATCTTGCACTTCATGAATAATGAGAAGCTTTTGCCGAGGGGAGTGCTGATTAGAGCACCATCAGTTCAAGATTGGGCCATGAAGACGGGTCATGCTGTCCGCAAGCTTGTATCTTGCCTGGGATCCAAATTTTCGGTGATTGATCTCAATGAGTAGACATGCCAATGTTGATTCGGAGGGGCTGTTGGTTTGCGGCTGAAGTTGAGGTGACCAAATTCAAGCACCTTGCTCGCCGTGCCCGATCATCGCACCAAGCCCAGCTCCGAGAGCTCAAGAATGAGTTATCTGGGCTTCTTAAGGACGTTGAATCTTGGCATTTGGGTTGCAGTTTCCGATTGAGTTCCAGTGGATGAGAGGCTGAGCCGTGTTTGCAGCTTCACATGCAAGGATTCGGAGTCGGAGGATGAGGACTCGGGCAACGAGAGTGACGAAGACGACAGCGAGGCTCTGTCCAGCTTGGCTGACCATGATAAGGATTCTGCTGCTTCTAGACGGCATTTTCGGTTCAGGTTTGCATTTGATTGCCAGCTTCAAGATCAGCTGGATTCATGCTAAGGTTGCAAGTTCCAGCTGCTCTGTTGCCACCCCGCCTTTTCACATCCCGAGTCTGAGTGGTGAGATGCAGAAACTTTGGTTGAATATGTATTGATCTGTCGGCCGCGCTTGCATTCAAGCTACATTGTCTTCTATATCCAGTATCATGTGTCCGAGGCAGGTCTTGGCCAAGCTGCAGAAAGCCAGTCGATGTGAGCAGCCAGATCTAGACGCAGCAGCCGAGCGACAGGCTTCCGAACCTGTTGCTCCGGAAACCAAGAAGAAGCCTAAGAAGGTCAAGGGTGCGATTGAGGAGAAGCTGTTTCCTGAGAAGGATTCTTGTCCGAACCATATGAGAGTCAGTTTGTGTCATGCAATATGCAATCTAGTGCTGGAATCTTGCTCACTATATGCAGGTTATGGACAGTCTTCGAGGTTTGATGAATGCAGAGCCCGCGAAGCCGTTCCTGCCGAGTGTCCAGCTTCCAAGTTGCATATTGACCGGTGTTGACTCCTGCATATGCTGTGTTTATGTGTGCACCATGGGATTGGGGGGGCAAACACTGTTGACACCATTGAGGTGGGCCAAGGATGATGTGACTGGCCCGGAAGGTGATGAAGCAGAGCAGAGCAGCAAGAAGAAACCCCCAAAACAATCAAAAAAGAAGCAGCAGAAGAACAAGGAGATCAAGAAACCGAACAAAGAGATTGAGAAGGAAAACGGGGGCTCGAACAATGGCAACGCAGAGGAGCCGCACGCGATCACCCGCATGAAGAAGAACATGGCGCCCGACTGCTTGTATGTCCCTGGATCTTACAAGGAAGCCAGACTCAGGTACATCAATAGAAAGCGAGAGAAGGGATGGTCCTGGAAGGCAGCGTGCGCGAAGTGGAATGGCAGTGCCATTCGAGCATCGTGGCTCGAGGGCTTATCTACCAATGAACTGAAGAGACGCCGGTTCATCTAGATTTCAGGCTTCAGTGATGCTTGTAAAATATGCAATTCAAACTCAGAACTGGTCGCCATAATTCGAGGACCGAGACCAGCTGCAAGCAATTGGTGCACGCCGTGAAATCAGAGAGGAAGCGAGAGAAAGAGCGGGAAAGAGAGAGACAGAGAGTTCGTACGTGCATGTGTGTATGTGCATGTGGGACATCTGCGGCTGTGCTGGCATGATGATACTTTTGTGCAGAGCAGCTCGTCTTGCCCAGATTTTGGCACCAGGCCGAGGCCGGCTTTGACTCCTTAAGGTATTGCGCTTTTGTACGCAGGGCTATGATGGTGAAGCTGTGACACCCCTAGATTCAGGTAGATTCCTTAAGTCTTCAAAATCACTTAACATGCAGGGCTACTTGGTTAATTTAGATCGGAGCAGGATCGAGGGCTTGTGGCCATGGTAGTGGCAGAACTCTTGCGATGGGGAGCTCCGCTACAGCTAATTTTGTGCCTGGTTCTCCTGGCCTTTCATGAAAAGGCCCTACAGTCTGAGGACCGTGTGTTGCAACGCTCATGTCCCAGAGTATGGCGATGTTCATATAGTATAGAACTACGACACGCGAGCCCACGCAGGACCTCGACTTCGTGCACCTTTTTTCAGGCTGCGATTCTGTCGGTGCCAGCTTCCGCAATGCACCTGGGATTGTCCAATACAGTCTGAAGCCCTGCAATTGCCAAACCTGAACAGCCCTGAAAGCCCCAAACCGTGACATGCCTGTCCACATACATATATATATATATATATACTAGGCCAATCCCTACAAAGATCCTTTATTCTACTCGATCAGGATTTGGGTCTGGTTGGATCCTCCTGGGAGCTTTCTGTGGATCCTCTGGGCCACGACCTGATGACGACAGCCGGCTTCCTGTACCCAGACTGCAAACCATGCACGAGTTCTATTCAATCGGTGATGTGTTGTGTTGAGGGTCTCTGGTAGCTCTTGCATGAAGACTGCAAGGATGGCTTTGAATGAAGCCCGCCGCCTCAAGATGGATGCCGGTATCGCTGTTGTGGGCCTCCCGTGTGCCTCTTTTACCGTGATGTTGCCAGGGTGCACTGATTTAGGTCCTTTCGAGCTGTGTGCCTGTGTGTGCTGGCTGCTGTCCTTCACAAAGCTGTGTTGTGACTTAAGGTCAAGAAGCACCTCGGGGAGAAACCCGATCGAGCCGAAGGGCAACCAGGGATATGGTTTCGTTCATGCAGGGAATGTATTATTGTCTCGGGTGGTCATGCTTCTCTTGGTCGTCTGTTCACGGAATGGTCGCTGGATACTGGAGCAGCCATCGCAATCCTGTATTCAAGACCACCCGACGATACAATGGTTGCTGGAACGAGCCCCTGCTACTAGGCTTGAAATTATATAGCTAGCTATATAGAGAATACTGAGTTAAAACAAATGTATGATCCGAAATGATAGTGCAAGGTCTTCAAGGGCTTCTTCTACATGGTCCGATTCGGTGCCCCTTCGCTGAAAAGGCACATGGTGCTCTCCAACTGGGAAGAATTCCTCGCAACCTTGGCGGCCACGGCAGGGTACATGAGTGTGGAAGAGAGAAAAAACCTGGTCAAGGTAAAGCTTGCAGTTCACGCCCAGAACAGAAGTGGTAGAGTGAAGAAGAAGTTCACTGGCCTGCCCAAGCAGCTGAAACAATCCCAGTTCCTAGGCTGCTTATACGACTCCAGAAGTAAAAGCCAAAGCTTTGTATCAGACTAAATGATAATTTGTTCCGGCATATGAACCCATGCGATCTATCTCAGGAACTACCCGGAGAAGTTTGCCAGAGCGATTTCTTCCCAGTTCAGAATGAACCGCTCGGCTTCGAAGCTGCAAGTTGTGATTCTCGGTCTGTGCAAACTGTAATCTCCCTCCGGTTCTTTCGTTCTGAGCCAAGGATCCTGTGCCTGGCCCTCGTTGTATCGATCCGGTGGACAAGTCTCGGTCGGACTACGAGCTGTTTCTAGAACGGCTGTCAGCTGGCGCGTGGGGTTGTCCTATGAGCTTTGATGCCTCCAGGCTCATGCAAGGATTTGCAAGTGTTTGCTTAACGGCTGTTTGCGAAGATTCTATAGGCTAGCTATGTCGGTCCCAGGCTGGACTTTCCGAATGCTGCCGATACCTCCTCCGGTCCAAGGACGTCGAATTGAAGGGTCGGTGGGAGCCTGGGCCTGCACTATTGCCATGGGTTCCTATATGCTTGCATGATCTAGCCCGAACGCCGATATTATGCATGAAAGCTTTTTGGGATCCAGGGTTTTGGTTAGCTCTGCCCTGTGCCTCTGTCCTTGCTGCCATGGTGCCGGTGTCCAAGTATCTAGTCCGCAAGCCAAAAGCGATCTCGAAGCCCATCGGGTCCGAGTCCTTGGATGGTGGCAATGAGCAGGGCAGTGGCAACCCTCAGGACAGTGGCAACCCACAGGAGAGTGGCAACCCACAGGAGAGTGGCAATCCAGCTCCACGTGAGCTGCAGGGGTCCAAGGAATCGGCGGACGTCCAGATGAAGCCGCCGGGCTGTGACAAGGACAGCCGGAATGCAGCTACTTATGAGCCGAGTTTCCGCCAGCGATCTCGCTCGCCTCGAACGAGGCGTGCAGATTCCCAAGAAACGTTGGTCCTGGGCTCTTTGTGCTACGTCAGTTCTTCCGGATCCGAGTAGATTGCAGCAGCGCTCGAGGCAAAAGACGTGTGCACGGGGATATTTCAAGTGCTCTGAGCTGGGGACTGTCGGGGTTTCGGGGGTCGAAGTTCTGAGTTCCCGTGTACATGTGCGGCTGCATGCATCCAATGCCAACACCTGCAAAGCCCAAATCCTGAAAATCTCGACCAAGCTCCAGCCCAGGAAGCTCTGCGACCTCAGCTCATGTGCCTTGGCTGCCATGAGAACGAGACTGACAGAGAGAGAGCGAGAGAGAAAGCGACCAAGCGCAAGATTAAGGGAGGGAGGCAGATGCAAACGATGTCTTTAAAGTCGGCCCGTACAGGCCTGGAGCTAGAGCCTCTTTCTGGGCTGATCCGGACTCTCTCTCTCTCTCTGTGTCTCTCGCTCTCTCCCTCTCTCTGTCTCTCTCTCTCTCTCTCTCTCTGTCTCTCTCTCTCTCTCTCTCTCTCGCTCTCGTCTGTGTCTCCTTTCCCTGTGCACGTGGCAAAGACACAGAACAAACCTGCCAGAAACAATCCCGACCCGCACCAAGACTGCACAAGCACAGAAAAGCACAAAGAAGCGCAAACAAGCACACAAACGCCGATGGTTTTGAAGCAAAGACACACAGAAAAGCACAAACAAGCACAAAGAAGCACAAACAAGCACAAAAATACACAAAGAAGCACAAAGAAGCACAAAGAAGCACAAAGAAGCACAAAAATACACAAACAAGCACAAAAATACACAAACAAGCACAAACAAGCACAAAGAATCACAAAGAAGCACACATTATAGGGATACCATGGGAAATCATCCACCCGATCGATCCGGATCTCAGGCTTCTTTGCAATGATGACTCCCGAACACAGCCTTCGGCAGCTGCCCCCAGCTTGCATATTGTGTAGGCATATGTACATGTGTGTGTGTGTGTGTGCTAGTGCAGATCAGCCCCTGGTCCAGCACACAAGCGAGGAGATGGCGGCTGGCATTGGTGCAATTGCTGCCGGTGTCCTTAATTAGTTGAGAGGCTGCAAGCTTGTGTGCTGCTTCACACGAGCCCTCTTTGAAGCTTGATTTGCCTCTTTAACGATCAATTCAAGCTGTTTCGAATGGTTGGGGAGCATTTCATGAACGCTGAACCCTGAGCAAAATGACCGCGTGGAAAATGTGCCAATGACCGTTAAAACCAGGCCACTTGTCCGCTAAATCGCGTGTAATTTGTGCTTAATTGAAATCCACAGAATCGAGCACAACTGCTAAAGCCATCTCAGCTTTGAAAAGGGCTGTGCAGGGCTGGGATCCCCTTGCCTAGCGGCTGCAGACCATGGGTGTATATAAGAGTACGAAAGAGGCTTTGGATCGTGGTGTGAAGCTGAAGAAAGTGGTGAAAGAGCAGAAAACTGCTTCGAAAAGCAGCAAATGGAGAGCGCCTGACCTTCCGCTTTCCACTCCTCTTGGTGTTGGAGGCCTCACCCTGGGTTCGCTCATGAAGCAGGAGAAGCTTGAGTATCCCGACGCCGTCGCGGTATATTTAGCATTTCAAGACACTCAGAAGTCGTCTTCCCCATCCACGAAGAAGCCCTCCAAGAAGACCCCGACAGAGACCGAGGACACCCACACGGCATGCAATTCGGCCCCTTCCGGAACAGCCAAGAAGAAATCCTCAAAGCAGGCCCCCACGGAGACCAAGGACACCCAGTCGGCATGCAATTCGGTCCCTTCCAGAACAGCCAACAAGAAATCCCCAAAGCAGGCCCTGGAGAAGACCGAGACCGAGGCAACCCCGAAGAGATCCCGCAATCAAGTGACCCCCAGGTCCAGGCCAAGCAAAGCAGCTTTGAGGCGAGGTGTCGCATCATCCAACCTCGGATTGGAGGACCCGGCCGAGGATACTGTGGTGCAGCCGGCCAAGCGTATCAAAGGCAAAAGGTCTCCCGAGGCAGCCCCGAACCCCGAAGACTGCACCCCTCCGGATGAAGACGAGGATGCAATTTGTATGCCATGGGATGAGATTGAACAGGAGTACAACCTGTGGAGGGATGGGCTTCCTCAGCTCAGTGAGCTGGATAAATATTTGAAGGCCCACAGGGAGCTCTCGACCCAGCAGTCGCAGCCTGTTGCTGCGCCCGCTATGCTGGCACTGCCTGCTCCTGCTGCAGACCAGACTGGCTGTAATGAGAGTCAGGTGTGCTTTGATTGCAACATGAGCATGCATTGATGTGTGTTGCATGACTTGCTATCGGCATATTCAATATAATTACCCGGGGCTCAGGTCTGGCAGTACCTTTGTGGATGGTCAAGACAGGTTGCGGACAGCGCAGCCGCTCAGCCACAAGGATCGCCAGGATTCGCAGACGAATCTGAGTGATCTGGGGCCTTCCGCGAGCCAGGTTGCTGCTAGCTTGGACATGTTGTCACTTATGGAAAAAGTGAAGCAGTTGGAGCTTGAAAAGGCAGAGCTCCAGTCCCAGCTGAGCAGCGACTCCACAACCAAGCCCGAAGCCCCTTCTGATGCTGAACCCGCCGATGCCAAAGCTTCCGAACCCGCCGATTCAAAGCCTCTGGCTACTCCTGTGAGGAACATGAAGGAACATGTGTTTCACGAGTCGCCACCTCCGGCGGTGAGTCCAGCTAGTGTACTTCCGGCCTCCATGCTGGCAAAGATCAGGACCCAGTCGGAGCCAGTTCCGAAGCCGGCCCTGTCGCCTGCCGCAGCCCAGCCTGAACACGATCAGGGGAAAATCAATTCTGCAAGCCACCGAAAGGAGTATGCGAAATTGGCCGCTTTGCTGATCCCTGTCGTTCCGTTGCATATCATCACAATCTATTTGGTGGGGAATCGTTTGCTCTGCTAAGAACCGACTTCATGAAGCTGGTGACTTGGCTGGGTACCCCAACATGCTGGCTTTGCAGGAAGGCACGCTTGATGTGGCTCGGGTGCATGAGTGCACGTATGCATGTTAGCACTCGCTGCGCTGGGAATCTAAACTTGGCTTTGCTCTGTTGTGCTGGCTTCCTACCTTCGCTACAATTCAAGTTTGGCTTCTGTCTGGGAGCCATGCAACATCTTAATTAACTAACTTCCACTTCATATGGCTACTTAACCTAACTTTCCTATATGTCTAGGTACAAGTCAACTTTTGAACTTATGTTTCGGGGAATCTAAATGCGATATTTCCCAAGCTACTTTCCCAAGTCCACAATCCACCTCGAGTCTCCGTGTGAGGGGAAATACAGAGGGATAAAATTATGGAGAGCGAGAAAAGAGAGAGAGAGAGAGAGAGAGAGAGAGAGAGAGAGAGAGAGAGAGAAACGCAGAGAGAGAGAGAGAGAGAGAGAGAGAGAGAGAGGGAGAGAGACATAGAGAGTGAGAGAGATAGCAGACAGAGAAAGAGAGAGAGAGAGAGAGAGAGAGAGAGAGAGAGAGAGAGAGAGAGAGAGAGAGAGAGAAGAGAGAGAAGAGCGAGAAAGAGAGGAGTGAGAGGGATCGAGGGTGCTGGGAAGAGTCCGCATGTGTCGAATCATGTGTGATGCTCGAACCAACATGCTTCAGATTGTCAATGGCTGTGCTGAGGAGAAACGCAGGCTTCTTCGTGAGTGGGTGACCTCGGGCCAGAATCTGCAGGCCTGCGAATCCTCCATCGAGGTGTCCCACGAAGCGGGACTGCGCGGAGAGAAGGTTTGGATGCAGATCCCTGTGAAAAACATGTCGATGAAACCCCACTACTTCAGCGAGTACTTCAACAGCAGATCAGAGCTTTGTAGATTCACGCTGCTGTACTTGTCGGCATCTTGATGCTGCAGCCCAGGCAGAAGATACAACATATCATTGCGACGCAAGTGGGGGAACGTGATGAACAAGCCCCAGACTCTCTTCAGGATACCTTATATTGGTGTATCGTGGCTCGCACCCAGGTGGAAAGCTCTGATTACAGGAGCACAGCTTGCATTGGATGCTGAACATCAGATAGTCTTGCATGCGACTATAGGTTTGCATATGCTGACATACTTCAGGATCAAGCAGAACATGAAAGTGAACTGTCGTCCGGGGGGAAACTTTTTCGATGGCCCCATTCCCGGAGCAGATCCCGGCCTCCTCCACAAGAAGCCGGCTGTGACGCAGCAAGCACCGCTGAAAGCTGATGTCCTCAGGGAGTTTGATCAGCGCAAGGAGGAGTTGAGTGCACTTGCGGCAAGGCAAAGTGCAGGTGGGGCACGATGAACATACCAAGTTCCGCAACATTCCCCTCAACCCTGAACATGCCAGCCCTACACTTCAAACCCAATGAGGTGGTGGTCGCAACAGCAGATCTACGAGACCACCGCCGTCGCGAGCTTCCTCACGACGCCCGGGCTCGGTTGCAGGTTCTACGGCTACCACTGTGAGAGGTAACTCCTTGATCAATGAGCTGTTCAAGTGTCCGAAAGACAAGCATGCGAAGTGGTGTTGCTAGTTTGCACTACAGAGGGTTCTCTCGCATCGTCGTTGTCATCGTCATCGTCGCTGTGTTCTGTTTGCATGATGCAAGGCAAGGAGATCAAGAAGAACGTGAACGGCATCACTGATCTGATCTTCGATATGGGTGATGCCTCGGATGATGACTCCCAGAGGTTGCTTAAAGACCTGAAGAGCCACAAGAAGAAGCTGGAACAGCTTGCGAAGAAGTCACCTATCTAAACTTACTCACTTCGGCGCCCATGAACACAATATCCCCGATCGAATATCCCGAGGTTCCACAGTATCGACCCAGAGTCCGATACCGCCGCCATGGATCAGCAGTGCGACGCTATCCACGACGAAGTTTCCTTGCATGATATGTTTTGGGCTGTTGGTTGGGACTTCGATCATTTGTCTGTGGGCTTTTAGCGGGCTTCGGGTCTTTGGTGGAGTTTGCTCTTTTTGATCTGCTCCGGAGCCGAGGTTCAAAGCCTGTCTTTGTGCAAAGGGCAAATCAAAGGCTTGCTCAAGGAGCTCAGCAAGAGGGCTGCCAGCTGATTTAATTTTCCGTGCGAGTGCTGGTGCATTTCATTCTGGGAATGTATAGCTCTGCAAGTGTAATCCTTCTATAGCCTCGGCTGTCTTAGCAAATTCCACTAATGGTGCACCGGCGATATTAGTGAGGATGTGGTCTCTATGTTGCCACATCGTTTCGTATGCGGGCCGCTTGCATAGCTAGATATACTGTATCACTGAAGTTTGAAGATTTTCGCGAGATGTTGTTTGGAAAGTGTGGGGCTTCAATACATGCTGCAATCCTTAGGTAGGGTCTCGGGTTCGTATAAATGTGCACGGCTTACGCATATGGGGGATCCTCTTGCTGGGAGAAGCTCTGCAACTTTGCAGAGAAATCTCCATAGCGCAGGGGGCTACCGGGGCTTCAGTTATGACGCCGTGCACCAAAAGGGTGCTGCATCATGCAATTTGCTGCTTGCATATGTAGTTCATGGCTGCTGTGCAAATCTCGAACCAAGCGAAGTGCTGGGGCCAAAATAGTCCACTCGAAAGCTTTACTGCATGCATCCCGGATATTCTCCAATCCCCAAGTCCGATCAAGTGCTATGTGGCTAGTGCAGGTGCCAAGAAGGCTGCCGGGCCGCCGAAGGTGGCCGACGTCCTCGATCAGAAGCTCCTTGATTTTGAATAGCCGCAATAGCCAAACCCGTAACCCCGAACTCTATATGCGCATACGCCTGTAGTTCTTCATTGCATGCTTGAAAAGTTCACTGAGACTGAAACTAGATGCCGAAAGCTCCCTGCCTGAGGCTTGTTCGAGCTACATGTGCTGGCGACACGTCTTTGACTGTGGCCTGTGATCTGGGTGCCTTGCACACATTGCTGGGGTTATGGTTGGAAAATAACCTACCGAATATAAGCACGGTATCCCTATATAGTATAATCAAACCCGAAACCACAGCCCTAAGGAGATGCCTATGGGTCTCGGCTACTGGATGGTTACAGCAGCAGGCCTCTTCGGGAGGCCGAGTTTCATTCGCGATTATCTGGAAGCGGGTTGTCTTTTGACTGTGAGCCCACGTGGATTAATGCCCCAGCAATGAACAACGATCTGGAGCAAGAGACCATCGAGGCATTCCCCATTCTTCTTCCTTCCAACCTCGTTTCTCGATATTTGTATATAGGGTCTACTATAGTGGCATTTCTTTAAGTTCCGGGTGCGAGTGTTATCAATGCTGAACCCATTAAGCCAAGATGTTGGACGCTGTAGCCCAAAGACCTGATCCAAGGCACGATGTCTTCTGCAAGAGGGATTCTTGAGCACAATGGTCCCAGGCAGAGCTGCCCTGGAGGAGTATTGGGAGAAAACACTGTTAGAGCTGAGTATTCCTTTATTGGATGGCCGCCCTGATTTGTACCATCGGGCCATTCCTGTACTGATTTGGGGCGATGAAGCGACGCTCAACCGTACTTCATGGATGTTGGCTTCGTGGAACTTTGGCTTGTCCTGCATGGTTTCTTTCCTTTTTAAGGGGTGCTAGCAGGGTTTCTCAAATCTGTGATTGCTCATAATACTAGGACACCAGACCTCTCCGAATGCCGCACAGACTCCAAAGCCTCCCGCTACATTATGTATTCCTTATTGGTGCAGAACTACCTCATTCGGGCCAAGACGAATGTAACACTTCAAACCCTGAATGCTGCTATTGTGGACGACTTCAACAAGCTGAGCCAAGAAGGTCTTCAGATGGGTGACGAGGTGCTTGATATTAAAAACCCAGCCGTAAATCACAAACCCAGGATCCGTGCAAATATTGTAATCTATTCGATCCCAATCCTCCCTGATCATGCAGGTATACTACTTCATTCCTGTGGGATTTAGAGGCGACTTGAAGCAAATGGGCCAAGCCTTCAACCTCACCCGCAAGCCGGGATCCGAGAAGGTGCCGCGGCCGCACATGGCACGATCTTTGATTCAGGGTTTGTTCTATTGTTTGTTGGGGCTTGGGGCTTTTGTTTTCCGTCCTAAAACCTCTAGAAACTGTGTACGAACCCTATATTTAGGAAAGGCTGCAAGTGCAGGAATTTTGTGTGGTTATGCTGATCCAAATCAGGTTTGCTTCTATTGCGAGGCCAGTATGGGGCGCAAATCTTTCAATACTGTATACACTGATGTTTCAGAAGCAGCTGGGTGGCGGAGCACAATGCATCATGATGGCAACTGTGGGCTACCGTGGACCGACGAGCCTTCTTTCCCATAGGCTCTCAGATTGATTTTTTTCAATCGGGCGCTCGAAAATAAAGTGTTTTCGATCGGCGCTCGAAAACCGAGTTTCAACTATCAAAATCAATCGAGCAAGTCGGTTCTTCGCTCGATTCCTCGATTGATTCTATACTGAACCTCGCTCGATTCCTCGATTGATTTTATAAACCCTCCGCTCGATTCCCCGCTCGATTCCTCGATTGATTTTACAGTGTAGTATTTGCTCAATATCGTTCATACTTTTGTCTAATATATATATATATATATATATGTATACATTATAACTTATACATATATATATATATATCCATATATAAGTTATATATATATATATATATATATATATATGTATTGCATATTTCTGGTGTATAATATATATTATACTGATACTGTCTGGACAGACATTATTGTCATGTTGTTTCAATATAGCAAATGTCTGGATAGACAATTTGGTCATGTTGTTTTAATAGTATATCAATGCCTGGACAGGCAGCAAGTAGATTTCATCATGTTGTATGTACCGATCGAAGCGATTTTCTCAAAGGATATATTGAGCACCTAGAGCCTTGAGCCATGGAGACACCTCCGAAGAGGGCTCGAGAAGTTGCAGAGACGACGCCCGAACATGCCGAGAAGAAGAGACAAAAGACAAAGAAGCTGCTTTCAGCTCATGTGTTGGCGATGATCGAACAGCTCTCGGAGATGGCTGCGAGGGCCACGGAAATGGCGAACTCGTTGATCATCGAGAACCACGAGCCACAGAATCCAGATGATGCTGTGACCTTGGTCTTGGGGCACCTCGACGACATCGACGACCGGATTCGGCTTTTGGATGATGAGCTCGCAACGATCGAGAACATGGACTGAGATAGAGATGCAGCTAAAGGTGCAGTTTTGGAATCTGAGTTTTGGAATCTGGATATATGCCAAAAGAGCATAGAGGAAAGGATAGAAGAAAATGTTTTTGTTGCAGTGCATCGATTCATGCATGTAACTATAATGTCTGGAAGACATGGACGACGATTTTGCAGCAGCTGGAGTGCATATATGATGCTTTGAGATCAAGAAAAGAACATAGGGCCAGGCAGCGAGCCTAGAGCCCCGAGCCATGGGAAAGGGAGGTCCTCACCGACGAAAGGTGCCAGAGACTGACTTGGTGCACCTCCAGGATGTGCTGTCGGAGGCGATCAAGCTGGAAGGAGGATTGAACTTCTACGAGTACATGAACATGAACAAGAGTCAGGCGATCGCTGGGGCCTCTTTGTGTTCCGTGAGCTCCTTGGTGATCAAGGTGATGGCAGTGCAGCCGGCCCTGTGCTTTAAGTATCAGGACCTGAAGACAGTGTTTGCAGCCTTGGTGAAGCAGTTTGCCAGTCTACGAGAAAGTGTGCCTCTCGCCGAGCAAGGAGTTTTGCACCAGAAGTATGCGAATGCCCTCATGACGGTGGCAGCACACACACGAAGACTCCGAATTGCTCAGAAGTTCAGAGAGTGCTGCAGCAACTTGAGTGCCTGGCAAACAGAGAAGCTGGTTGCACTGCGAGACCTGCTGCAGGAGAATGAGAGCTCGGAGTCCAGCAGCGAGAGTGAGGAGACGACGAAGAAGAAGAAGAAGCTTCGGACCAAGGACAAGAAGAACAAGAAGGACGAGGGCAAGGTGGGCAAGAAGAACAAGGACGAGAAGAAGGACGAGGACGAGAAGAAGAAGAAGAAGGACAAGACCAAGGAGAAGACAACCAAGGACGAGGACCAGGCCAACAAAAAGAAGAAGTGCAAAACCAAGGACTCCGAGGACGAGAAGATCCAGGCCAAGACCAAGCAGAAGAAAACCAAGGACGAGGACAAGGACGACAAAAAGAAGAAGTACAAGACCACGGACTCCGACGACGAGAAGCACAGTGTGGCGACCGTGGACCTGATGGACATGGAGATTCCTGCTACCCAGTCGAATTCGTCAGAAGCGGAAAGTGTGGCCGAGCTTCGAAAGGTTGCTGAAGCAGCTCTGCCTGTACCATGTCGCAAGAGGACAATCAATGAGCAGATGATGGAGACGAAGAACAAGGACAAGGCGGAGAAGGCGGAGAAGAAGCAGCAGAAAGAGGGCAACAAGAAAAAGGAGAAGCCCATGAAGAAGCCGGCGGCGGCGAAAAAGACGCCAAGTCCTCCTGCTGATCCCGACCTCACGAAGGTGAAGCTGGTGCTGATGCCGTACAACTGCGGACGAGTTGCAATCCGCATCCAGAACGGCAAGCAGCTCTTGCAGATTTCGAAGTACACGCCCAAGAAGAACCGGATTACTGCCCTGAAGCTGAAAGAGTACCTGGAGATGGGAATGTCTCTCGATCGTGTGCTGGAGATGAAGGCACAGATGTCCTGAATTATGAACGATGGCATATATGGACATATGGATCCGTGATCAACGAATGCAGTCCTGAGGGAGAAAAGAGCAGATGTGTGAGTCTTGGGGGAAAGCCTTGTAAGTTGTAATGTCTGGACAGACATGACTGCAGAGCTTCTGGTGATAATGTCTGGACAGACATGCTGAAGCATTTCGGCTGCATGTGTTTAGTGTAATGTCTGGACAGACATATACTTGACTAATGTCTGGACAGACATGACTGAGCTTTCTGGTGATAATGTCTGGACAGACATGCTGAAGCATTTCGGCTGCATGTGTTTAGTGTATTGTCTGGACAGACATATACTTGACTATAATGTCTGGACAGACATGACTGCAGAGCTTTCTGGTGATAATGTCTGGACAGACATGCTGAAGCATTTCGGCTGCATGTGTTTAGTGTAATGTCTGGACAGACATAAACTTGAGCAATGTCTGGACAGACATGCTGAAGCATTTCGGCTGCATGTGTTTAGTATAATGTCTGGACAGACACATGAAGCAAGTTTCTGCTTTTGAGCTTGCGAATATCTGTGTTTTTGTGTTACATATTGCTCAAGATATCGTGGCAGACAACAGAGCGCCAAGTGTAGCAGGAGACTGCCAGGAAACACATGTAAGCATATGGAGGCAGGACCAGGAACAGAGTAAGTAGAAAGATGGCCGACCTCGGCACTGGAGCCTACGACCGCAGAGGCCGAGATGTGCCAGCGAGTCTGGGCGGGAAAGGCTTCGACAGCCTGGGCGAGGACATGTCGGGCGGCAAAATACTTGAGTAATGTCTGGACAGACATGCTGAAGCATTTCGGCTGCATGTGTTTAGTATAATGTCTGGACAGACACATGAAGTAAGTTTCTGCTTTCTGGGCGAGGACATGACGGGCGGCAGGATGGCGAGGCTGTGGCGAGACAATATGCGAGCCATCTGGAGCCGCAAGTCGTTCGACATCCAGTTCAGTGCCTGGATGGACTTGGTCGTCGAGGAGGCGGAGGAAAAGAGCGGGCTACGAAGAGGATCCAACGAAGCATACAGAAGCTACCTTCGACGTGTGTTCGTTGAGAAGAGCCCGTTCAAGACGTACGAGCAGATGATGGACGACATAATCAATGAACTCGAGAGAAAAGATGAGCATGAGAGGTCTGAAGGACCCGGGACAGACCTCAAACCCTAAACCCTGAACCCAACCCTGTGAACCCTAAAACCCAATAAAACCTCGAACCCTAAAGAACTCAACTTCAAACCCCTAAACCCACTACACAGGAGATGGAAAAGGAAAAGGAGGAGGGAACATGGACGTGGACCAGCGAGACTGGAGCCAGGCTGGCCCTGGGGCTGGGTAGTATTATGTCAGGGTTTCTATATCGTATTGTTTCCAGGCTTTCGGACTTTGAGATGAAATGTCTGGACAGACAAGCTTATATGAATGTTCGAAGTCCAAAAGTGATTTGAATCGTCTCGGCCTCGCTCTGTTTCAGGACGATGGAGGAAGTCACTGGTCTCACAGCGAGGCCATTGAAGCAAAACGCCATCGTTTGAATGCTGAAATTAGTTTTGCCAGGCCTGGTGGAACACTGGCTACGACAACGAGTGGACCTGGGGAAAGGACAACCAGGACCATGGCCGGAGTTAGTTGAGCACGTGGGGGAATGGTTTTGAGTTTGGATTTGTTTTTAAATGTGCAACCGCCCCTGCAGGATGACGGCTGGTGCCAGAGCCAGAACCAGGACCAGGATCGGAAAATAAAGTCTGGACAGACTTTTGTGAATATGTTGAAAGCATCGCTCCCTGCATAGGCCATGTGGGGCCAAGACTCAGGATGGGACGAGGCCTAGCATTGACACTGTAAAGTCTGGACAGACTTGTTTTAATCAGTCCCTGCTGGTAGGCCATGGGACAACAGGGGCAAGATTGGACTTCGAACCCAGTGCAGCCCGGAGGAGGACAGCCATCACAGCGGGCCCACACAGACTTTGTTCCCCCTCGTCTCCTACTGACACATGAACTCCCTCCCAACCCGGTCCGACAGATCGCTGAAGGGCTAGCCCAGCTTTACAAACAACAACAGCAGCAGCTCCTCCAAGGAGCATCGCACGTGAGCCAATCCTGGGGCCCAGACATGGGAGGATGGGACCAGTACCAGACCCAGGCCCGTTAAAGTCTGGACAGACTTGTTTTGCGGTCTCTAAACCATCGCCCTGCAGAGGCCACGAGCCAAGACCCAGGAGTATGGCCCCAGCAGCAGATGCAGGCCCGTTTCGGTTTTAATATAGTCTGGACAGACTTTTTTAGAATGTTAATTCCTGCAGAGGACACGAACATGAGCCAAGACTATGGAGGATGGAGCCAGCAGCAGAGCCAGGCCCGTCGCAGACAATGGTTGAAATATAGTCTGGACAGACTTTGATATGTGTTTTTATACACCTTCTTTTAGATCCTGCACAGGCCATGATGTGGGCCCAGCCCCAGTTCCAAGCTCCGCCGCAGGACCACGTCATTGAAAATGGAGTCGACAAAGAGGTATGTGTGTTTCTTGACACTTGCTTGGGCCTTTGTCGAGGAGACGATGCAGAGTCAAGATGATCGATGGGCTCAGGTGCCC